TAACGTTTGTATTTATGTCTCATTATCTGTTAAAATAGAGATAAAAAAGTATTCTTAATTTATTTAATATGATATTTCATATAATCGTGGATATCGCATGCTAACGATGGGAATCAAAATTAATCAAGAAAGAAAAGTGGTAGCATTAAAGATTAACGAATATCGCCGACTGATCTTAGCGTGCGCCCTATAAATAAAGAGTCGAGAAAAATGCCCGCCGTTGTCATGCCATTAAACGTAACTTTCCACCGGTCGGAGATAAATTCACAATTAATAATTTAAATCAATATGGTGGAACGAGAGCGCGGAACATTTGGGGCGGATATACCTCCCGTGGGTACAGTATAACGTAGCTCGTATCCAGAATGCCAGAGCCGCTGTATGAGGGCGGAAAAGAGCGCAGGAACCCCTCCGGACCGACGTCGAACACGCGAGAGACGATCCCCTTGGGTTCTCCATCGGCATAAAAAGAATCACGGGATCGTGACCGAAGATCAATTTAAAAGCGCGCGTGTAATCGGCATTGACAGATATCTTTTTGTTATATCGACGGTACGACGGTATCAATCAGCCAGAGGCAGGCAATACTTATGCTCATATGCAATGAAAGCTCTCTTCGAAATATTCATTTGAGTTTATGCACCTTTCACATACGGAAATAATGTCATAAATATATCGCAATAAATTTCGCACGTTATTTCTCCTATCGTACGATTATCTTTACGCCGATTATCACTGACTGTGAGTATAATCTATTTGACATGATTGATATAAAGTTTACATGATGATTTATTTTTGTTTTATATGCTGCAAGCCTGTGAGATTTCTCAAAGTTTAATATTTTTAGTCTAGATTTTATTACCAATTAAACAATAAAAGATATTGATAACATATTTTTAAGATCAAACACATTGCATTAATTATCACTATTAATTATCCAAGACATTTTTGGAATTATTTTCGTTACGTTTTTAATGTCCGTTCGACATATAAAAATATCTATTTTGTATCTATGTTGTACATGATTGTAACTTTCACGTGTAGGACAACGGAAACAATTACCGCGGCAATCTCCGCGATCGAACCCCGCGAAATATCGTTCCCGTGACAGGAACGACGCGACTTCGGAAAAGGATAATTGGAACGAACCGCCGAACAAGCGACAGACGCAAAAGCAACCGATATGTGACGCGGTTCTGCTTAGACAATAAATCGCTATCGCTCGTTCCATACACACACACACACACACACACACACACACACACACACACACACACACACACACACACACACACACACACACACACACACACACATCACGCCGGAAATACGGCCGGAGACTGACGGCGTAGTCAACATTGTCCGCGGAATCGATCGATTGATCGCCGTCGTCGTTCGGCCTCGAACTCCCGTCGACAGAACACGTCGACGGGATACGTCGACGGGGATCCTCCCGCGGATATGTCCGTCGCTGCAACCCTCATGGTATGTATCATCATTACGCGGTCCAGCGGCTTTTGGTTCAGTCCGCTCCGTTAATTGCGGAGAGAAAGCGCGTCGTGTAATCATGTTTCCAACCCCGCCTTCCCAGCGGCGGGACTCATCCGACCAACATCCCAAAAATATCGCGATAGGGGTTGATTTCACAGCCAACCATCCCGGCACCAAGCACCGACGAAAGCCTACGGCTCGTGCGAAACACAAGTTCTCCCTTATTTTTTTTTGAATCACATGACGATCAGTGGATCTTACAACGACAAAATGGCATGGCACGGAAAGTACACGTTACAGAACGTTAAATTATTTTTAACGCCTGACTTCGAAACATAGGATTACGTAATTTAGGAGCTACATTGCGCGCGACTGTCTGTCTATTAACGCGTATATTCGCACGTAAAAAAAAAAAACATTTCGACAGCCGAGTAAAATATATCTCGCGAAATATATTTCTCGATAAAACCAGCACGCTCTGAAAAATTGTGACACTCTTTATTACGAATTTCGTTGTGAATGCGAGAAGTCGCTCGTTAATCATACGGCAGACGATTCAGACGTCCGAAATGTCTATCCTTTTTTTTTTTTTTTTTTTTTCTACCGTGTAATATTGCTCTGAATAGGAATTCGACACATCCACGTCGGGAACCACAAGGGAGGAGAATACTTGATAAGCATTTGCCGCCCTGTTCCACGATCGATTCCCTCGAAGCCATGAATGCGAACAGCTTCTTCACTGTCGAGTGAGTCCTTTCTCTGCGTCGGGATACGCGTGTGTCCCACGGATAGACACATCTGGTATCGCGGTTTGCGTACGGTTTCCGCGGCGTGAATCGAGATTGATCCGGGCACAATGCTCGGGACGGGACGCTCCAGATCCGAAAGTGCCCGTGTCTACGTCGAGACGTCTGCACGTGATTGACACCCGACAGCGCCACTCGAAACAGTCAAAACATTTCACCCCATGTCGCGTCGAGTCTGGCCTTGACGCTTCGTAGCAACGCCAATCATCCTTCTCCGCGGATTCACTGTTATCCGTAAAACGGAGATTACTCGGCAAATATCCGGCATTAGTTCGACAATATTTCTTTTCATCGTCGCTCTCACTTGTGAGAACGTCGCGTCTTCGAACGACTTCCGCGATCGCGTATCCCCGAATGAGAATGAGTTTGCTCACCGGCATATTATTCATCGCTCTACATTAATTCATACACGGAGAGTTTTGCTGAAAAAAACCTAAAAATTTGATCAGATACAAATGTAAAAATAATTTTATCGGTTTTAGAAGATAAAAAATTTTTGCATATTATTATTATTATTATACTGAAACAAGAATTTTGATGGTCCAACAAAATTATTTTCAGATTTTTATCTGGCCAAATTTTTAGATTTATCAGCAAAACCGTTCTCTCCGTGCGACTATCCATAAACAATGGAATATTTATAAATCTCGTGTCCTCTGTGATTTTTCGAATGATCCAGATTTCTATGTCACTCACTTTGACGAAAATGTTATTGCGATGTAATTCTTCATGTACTCTCTTCACGTGTACTCAAAAAATGTATATTTCATGATCCGAGAGCGGAATTTCTCGATGAAAATAGCGCGAGATATATATCACGTTCGTATCTAACGTTGTACAAGTCCATCGGCTTTTACCAATCGACAATGGGATAGTTCACGACCAATGGAACACTTGTAAGTTGTGCTACAGTTCCGCGCTCTCTCTCTCTCTCGTGCACTCGATAATCCGCAGACGCGAACGCGAGGATCGAAGGGGGTAAGCCATTTGTCGAATGACGGCCGTAGATTCTGCGATACCCACGATGCGCCCCGGCGCGACTAGCGTGATCATAGATCGTTGATTATCGTCGGATAGCCCGCACAATGCATTTGCGCTTTCGTGTTGCAGTCGCCGACTCAACAGGAGGTGCTCTCGGCCCTGAAGAGACGTCTGGAGCAGACGAGCGTACCGCTCTTCCCACGGCATCGCCTTCGCATGCTCTCCAAGCTCGCCGAAGGCGCCTTCGGAACGGTAATGACATCGTTATTACACTCGCGAATAATAAGTATATATTTCCAATTAGACACAGAACTGAAATAAGCCGGTGAATCATTCCCGTCCGTTACGTTAGTCAATTGATGCCGGCCGGGTTATTTCAATTTCGAGATCTCGTAAAAATGGCTTTACAATTATTTATGCGCTTGACATATCTCTTACACTCTCGAATTTGCTTTAAGAATTATCGGATCGGAGGACTTCGTATTTCTCGTATTTTAAAGAAACGCGGAATTACTATCGTGTAATGTGTACTACTATAGAAAAATTTATCACACTCAATTTATCAGCATTACCGCGCTTGTCGTTATACCGATTGCACGCGGATAAAGCAAGCCCGTGCCGAATCCCCGAGTGAATTTACGCAACGTGTCGCAACTCCTCTGTCGCAGCAACGATCGCGAAATCAATCCGTTTGTTGGCCGCACGGCGCGCACGGGCAATTCAACGTGCGCAGGATGCGCAACAATACGTCGATTAATGAAGTACCCGGGACGCGTTATTCTTCGCCGGCACAATGGCGCCTCGTCGGGGTCGTCGAAGATAATCAGTTTAGGATGCGTTAGAGCGGCTAATAATTCCCTTTTGTTTCCCGCCCCGGGTACCGGCGACGCGTCGTTAATGACGCCCGGCGAGGAGGAGGAGGAGGAGGAGGAGGTGATGGAGAAGGTGGAGGCGGAGGAGGAGGATCGCCGAAACATTCGCACGTTGTTTTGTGCAGTTCGCCAGTTGCCGCGTCAGGCTTCCGCGAACGTGGGGACTTCCCACGAGTTCGCGAGATCGATCACGTCGATCTTGATCCGCTCGACGCGTGAGATCAATCGTGCGAGATTGTCAGAAGATCGTCGAAAGTTCCAGGAGAGAATCGCGATGCGTTACGCGATGCATACGATGATCGATTATACTTTACTTCCGTTCTAAACCTATCTGCGGGCTACGATTATTAAGATTCGCGTAGAATTCGCCAAATTGCATTTTCACCGGTTAATGAAAAGAATATATTCTTTTAATTCGTTACCACCGTAAAGTAAAGAAAGGATAAAATTGCAGGATAAATCCGTTCTTGGAACTATGTAATATAAGAGTAAACTGTGTGAATTCCCCTTCTGGCTTGTATTTATTTAAATTTTATTATGTTGCGAGAGACTCCGCATTTTCTTTACAAATAATATGTGGAAAATAAAATTAAAAATTGCAAAGCGAAATATTAAAAATATATCTATACTTGATAATATATTTATAAAATTTTCTCGATATTATATATCATTAATCTCTTGATATATAAAAGATACAGGACAGTCTGCTTTGTATAATTAAAAAACCAAATGGAAATTACTAATCTCGCAATATTATTATCATTATTATTTATAATTTATGCAAACGGACAAAATATGATATAAACAGCATAAAGCTCGACTTAAGAAAAATATATACGATGAGATTCGGTAAAATCACGATGATAGATTGCAGAATTTCCGTTATTTCTGCCAAATTTGTTTCAATCACTAGTAATTTTTATGCATATACGTAACGCAATTCAAACAAATTATACGTATAAAGGTATACGTGGCGGAAGCTGAAGGGATTCCGGAATATGGAACGACGACTACCCTCGGCAAGCGACTCGTCGCCGTCAAGTTTTTACTGCCGGAAGCCAGCGAGAAGGAAAAGTGAGTATACACGTCCATATGGAAGCCGCGATTTGCATTCTGTTTCGTTACGATGACGCTCGATTGAGCGTGCATGTCTTCCCCTGGCTCGTTTCCTCCACAATATACGACGATAAACCTTTTATATCCGCGTGGAGACGAGTTTCTGCGCCTGCTATCCGGGTCGCGTTTTATGCGGCGTTCATTATTGATATCGGCCGGGAGATCATGAGGTATCCTCACTTCCGCGAACGGACAGAATCGATAATCGACGTCGAGAAGACGCGATTTCCAGACGCATCGTGAAACAAATTGATTGCAAAATGCTAAGGTAAGGTACATTCAAGTCCAGCGAACTTTTTACGCGTTAGATAAGATCTATGCTTCCCTCAAATATGTACGTTCTCTTTCTCTCTTTCTCTCCTCTCTTCGCCTGCAATCGCGCAGGCATTGCAAGCAGAGTTTTGTTTCCGACTCGATACCCCGCAGTATCGAAATTTACATAAGAGGAAATCTCCGCGAGATGAAAATCCGGGGGATCCGCGCGCGTAACGTAAACGCGATGAAACGCGCGCGTCCAAAAATGCGATAGCGAAAGAGCGGGAGGGCAACGAGTTAAATTATACGAGAGGAAAGAGAGAGAGAAATCGTTCTCGTGGCGGACGCGATATATCGAATTTGGAGATAGAGAGCTGACGGTCCCCGGCCGCGTCCTCCGGCCCGGCGATCCGCATGCGACGATCCGCGTCGCGCCGCGGCGTCCGCCGAGGAAGCCCCGCGGCGGCGAAACGTCCGGATATACCGTTCCCGGACGATCGTTCTCGCGGCTATCGCGTCAGACATCAGAAAAAGGCCAGTTCGATTCCACGAATGGAACGGATTTGCATACAATGACCGGGAGAGATAGGGTATCGGGCCGACTTTGGCGCGCGCGCTACGAGCCGATGTGCGCGGAACGAAGGGCGGGTGACCTCGTAGCGGAGATGACAAAGCTTCCCACCGACGAACATCGACGAAAATCGACGACCCCCTCCCCCCCTCCCCATTGTACCGCATTGCCCGGGACTCGTCGCGTTCGGGGCAGAACCTCGGAACCTCGAAGGGAAATTCCGTCGATCCCGCTCGCGGAACAATCTGTCGGACGTCTGAGACGACGCGGGACGGAATGGCGAGCAATTTGGCTGATTTAGCGTGCACGAGTCCTATCCTACTTGCGCGAAGAATTGCCCTGCATATTGCAATTTCGTAACAACGCCCGGCACGATGCGGCCACGTTGCGCACAAAGTGATTGCACAAGCAGTCTTGCGAAAGTGATTAATTTATTGTTAACCGTTATCTGTCTCTCCCCTCTCTCTTTCTCTTTCTCGAGCGCTCTAAATAATCTTCATCGACGTTCCGCTCTCTCCGGGAAGATCATTTTTCACGTAATCGATCCTTCGCTTCGACCTTTACGAGAATATCACGAGACTCACGCGAGATCTACTGGCGCCTTAGACGTTTCAGTTAAGAGAAGAAGAGACTTTCAAGTGCCGGGAAAATCCGCGGGCAAAAATCATTCGACAGTTCCTGTCGAAACCCTGTACAGCGACTAGAATATACGAATATATAGCCTCCGAGGCCCGTCATATTTTACCTCTACACGAGCGCCGAAAGATACTCGGATCCTCAGCATCCGCTCACGCAACAAGCTCCTATCGCGCTGATGACTTATAGCGTCTCGTGACTGCATCGAGCGAGTTCGCCCTCCGCGTCGAAACGCGAACAGTTGCGACGTAGAAGAGCTACAAATCCGTCGCGAAATATAAAGAGAACCTTTCCTGCGACAGTTCGTCATCCATTTTACTCCAAAGATTACATATTTATGACGTGTAATTAGCTTTGTGTCCCTTTGCCCGAATCGAATGCCTGATTAACTCTCGTCATTGTTATCCTTTCGCATCGAAATTCACATCGCCTCCTGCATTCGTCGTGCGTGGAATAACGCGATTGCAAAGGCTTTCTGCGCGTTTGTAAATAAGGAAAGTACAACAGGGGATGTGCTTGCACATGTAGCCCTTCCTTTAGAGAAGGCTGTGCTGACGGCAGATAAGGAATGTTTTATGCGTCGTGTCTGGTATCGCATATTACGGTGCACGACCCGCGATCTGATACTTTATTAAAAATAACGCATCGGCTCGATTGCTTCGGTTTGCATTTAGATGACGGATATATCATCCCTTACCAAGCTTAACAAAACCACGGTGAAATGGAATTTTTAAAAAAATGACTAATTCGTTAAGATCTGCTTACTAGAGTTCCATTCTTACTTAATTCGAGAAGTTATAATTAAATTTTAATAACATTTTTCCCTACATTTCCCGAAATGTGCGTTTGGCAGCAGTGATCTTCTTGCAGATTTATATTTATAATATTGATAAATACTTTGTGGTCGAGAAGAAAGGATGCCTGTTCTAGAAGTCATAGAAATGAAATTAAATTTGGCGGATTTGGCACATTCGCGGGTGCGGAATCGGGAACGTTCTCGCCGAATGTAATCGCCGACGCCAGCGGCACAAGAGAGGAGAGACTGAACCGCGAGCAGGAACTTTCGACTAATGCGACGTTATTAACCCGCCCTTAGGAGTGGCGGTAACGTTAAACGGGCTATTTTGCATATAGTGGCCCAACGACAGGACCGTGCGTTTCGCCCACGTCGCGGCGACAAAGGTGTCGCGCGACAATCGCGGGATTTGCAGTTTACGGCGAATCGATACGCCGAGCACCGCAGTTTCGTTAACGGTCGCGTTAAGTTATCACGCGAGAGTGCCATTACCAAGCCGATCGTAAGTAAGGCCGGAGTATAACGATGCTGCGTGAAAAGGCGCGTCGTGCATATGTACTCACGCACGGAAAACACTTCTCTTATCCGGAAGTGCTCGGCCCAGCGAACTGGACGACGACCGCGGTCGTTAACGTTGTACGAACTCGTCCGGCTCGCAACGCGATACGAAAGTCATTATCTGAGTTACGGTGATTCTTGTTACCTCAGAGCGTTATCAAATTTACCCACTTGTTGCCTTATTATTTTGTATTTATATACATATTCTGTATCTTACATTTCTCATAACACGAATATATATTATATTTAATATCTCGTGTTTTTTCAAAAATCTATCTTCTTTTTAAACCTAATATATAATCGAGGCAATATCAAAGTAATTAGACTTCTTTCATTTTGCAACTTCTCGCGGGATTAATTAATTATGGCGGCAATTACAGTGATAACTCACTGAAGAAACTGGGTTGATCCTACACAGGTTGGACTTCCAAAGAGACGTGAGGATTCTAGCTGCTCTGGAAGATCGCAATATCGCACGAGTCTTGGGCGCCTGTTACCGCGAGGAACCATATTGCGTGGTGATGGAATATCTAGAACACGGGGATCTCTGTCAGTTTCTCAAGACGCATATCACTGCCGAGGACGCGCATTCCATGCCGATTGGCGTCAAGACTCTCAGGTAACTTTCTGTGACGCATTTCAACATTAATCAAGGCGCAATCCTCTCCGTATCACGACCAACTTCTCCGAAAATTATTAGTCAGCATTAACGTTTATTAATTGCTAATTTATAAATTTAAAACAAGTCACTTTTAACGTTAGACATTATTAAATTTTTTTCATTTCATCATTAGAGTGTAATTTAATGTATCACTTTAATGTATCACTTTCAATTATTTTTCTGCTGACTTGTTATTACTGACTTTTATTGATATAGTGAAAGAGCAGTGTTTATTAAAACATTCGCTGTCGCTTTTCCAAAAAAATGGCACGCGTGCAGGATGTTTCATATAACGGCCGTCGCCGAAATTGAACGTTCCCAAATAAAAGCAATACAGTATCTTACAAAAAATATCAAATTGGAGTACCTTTCGTGAATAAAAATTGGACAAAAAGTCATGAAATATATATCTGTATGAGTTTGAAAGCAATACCTATTTTAGTAAAAAAAAAAAAAAAACAAAAAAAAACATATTTGACTAAAACGATATGAAGATTTTCGATCGTTATAACGTCTCTTGAAAAATATAATTAAACATTCATATCGCGACGATTAATCCTTTTACTATCTCGTATCAAAGCTTGAAAAATCCACGAACGGATCTTTACAGTAATTATCAGAGTGATGATAAGTATCATAAATTTTGATTCGCCCATTCTGGATTTCCTAACACTGCGGATAAGTGCTACGCTATATAGATAAGCGCGTATTCCTTAAATCGTGATAGAAATTTCTTGTTTGCATGTTGAAACTGCTAATATTTTGCGAAAGTCTCATAAAAGATAAAAGTACGTATCGATTGCCTTCAATAATTTTGATACTGAGAACTCAACGACATCAAATATATCGTATTTAACGTGTCTGCCTGTGTTTAAAAATGTAGCACCAGAGATAGTTATTTTAATGATATCGATCCTTTAAAAATCATCTCTTAGATAATGATTGTTATTATCATCACATTGCACTTTTAATGATAAAATGAACTGTATTATCCATGTAAATCCGAAAAGAAAGTCTAATCCTTCGTTATTCTGGCACTGTTTGATAACTCGTCTACTGTAACGTTAATTTACGAGCATATTACGTAATGTATGTAGATACGACTGCGTTGGCGTATCACGACGTACTTGTTGTTACCGAGCTTAAAGTATTCAAGATTACGGTTCCCGAAGTGCTGCAATCGTCTCTAACGAGCCGGAGCTCAGTTTCATTTCCAACGAACTGCCGTCGCTGAAGTTAACACGCAATAAGTTTCTCCCGTGCGCGAGTTTGACGCGTTTATTAATCGTGAGCGACGCACAACCCTGACGTAGCCCCCCAATTCTCGTCGACCTACACCTCGGAGGAATCCCTCCGAGGCGATGGCGGTCGGGAGTATTTCGAGTGCGAGTGCGAATACCTTAACTTCGTCGCAGGAAACTCACGCCACTTCGTCGTCGTTTCAGTTTCAACTGTCTCATCTACATGGCGGCGCAGATCGCGTCGGGCATGCGGTATCTGGAGAACCTGAACTTCGTTCATCGAGATCTGGCTACCAGGTGAGTACAATGAGACTTTGCCGAAACGAATCTCTCGCGGATTCGCTTTCATCTCTCGAGAATAAACTTACGTATAGTGGGGCTTTATCACCCTCGACCGGTATTCACTCTATATCTAAACATTCCATAGTTCTCGTTCTCAGTTTGCATAGTACGCGATTTATTCGCAATTCGGGCAAAGACGAAGAATCAATTTAAAGATTTTCAAATACTTGATGTATTTTAAAAAAGCAAGACGACGATATTGCGAACTTTTTGTCATGCGCTCGATAAACGACGAGCGTATTTCTAAAGAGCCCGTCATATTTCGCACACGATTCTTACATTAAACGAAACTGGAGAACGAATCAGAGATTTGAATAGACGTGAATATTAAGCTCTTCCTCACGCGAGTGCATCGATGCGCGTCGAGGAGATGTAAGATTACAAGGGAATCTTCTCGGTCGATAGTAGCGCGAGGAAAATTACAACGCTTTCGTGGCGGCAACAATATACAGAGGGATTTATAATTCCCGACGACAGCAGCCGGGGATGATCCCCTGGTCGCGGGGGGAGAAACAGGTTGTAAAACGCGACGTATATTCCGTCGTACAATTTTTATTGAAAAGTAATTTCAAAAGTCGGTTGCGGCCAAACGCACGGAAGAGGTATGGCACGGCGTGAATGTGTCGCGGCATGGTTTTTACGTTATTGCGGAAGGGATAAATGGATCCGTTGCGCTCTTGATTTATATCTCCCGACGTAAATTCACTCACCCTTCCGGATGTATTTTTCCCCGTCTCGCTTTCCGCTCTATCGGCCGACAAGACACCCCGTGCCCGCTCGCGTTCTATCGACTTTAAATCGTCGCGAATCGAGATCGCGCGATTGCCTTTCGACGGATGTGCGACCCTCACGATCTCATTTGAGATTATGCCGTCCGCTTTAATTGGCACAGTCTAATAACTAACAGAGATATTCTCGCGGCGTGTGGTTGTACCCGGGAACGTGTACGTACGATGGAGGGAGGATTTTACCACGTCGAGAGCCCGATGCACCCGTTGAAACGGGACGGGGCACCGATATCGATTCTCCCCCTCCTCCCTCCCCTCTTCCCTGTTACACTCTCAGGATGAAATTGAATTATACCAACCCCCGTAGTGCATTTCCATAAGCCCCAAAACAAACGGAGCCAGGAACCGCATGGGAAATCAACGATTTGTTAGTGAATCGTCGCGAGGAATGCAGCGAGAAGAGCAAGCAGCCAGTTTGTGAATGGTGGCGTGGCCTCAGTGTAGAAAATTTCAATGTTTTCTGTTTTTTTTTGTAATCCAATCTCGTCCAATTGTCGTAACCATCTGGATCAGCTTCTGACATTGTGTTCCTCGTAGATCGCTCGTGGATGCGATTCCACTGGGTTTTTCGCGGGAGCCAACCCTCCAAAGTGACTTCGAGCACACAATAGCCCACCTTCCTCAATCTAACATAATGGCCCAATATTTGTCACGTTTGCGGTCAATTTTTCTTTCAAACGGTAAAAAAATTTCCTCCTCACGCGCATTAAATATAATTCAAGCTTATTGAGAAAGGACCGACTCTTGTCTAAAAAAAAAAAAGAGAAAAAAAAGAGCGCGTACATTTTTAATACATTTCGATCCAAATATGTCTGCCGCTAAAAGCATAGGGGTTAAAATTTAAGAAGGCTGTGCTAGTAATGAAATTTTAATACCGGAACTTGCAGATTAAGATACTTATTCTGCTTGAATTTTCCATCGACTATAGGTAATGCGCGGGCGCTCGTAAAATTAATGAAAATACTACGTGCAAAATGTGCATTGTATCGATCCATTTGATTGACGTAGTTTAAAATCGATATTACATAAATTATATAATGTATTAATTAATTACACCGTGACATTCCACATTTAGCCACTCATGTGTTTTGTTAAATTCCATACGCTTTCGCTCGAATGAATTTCGCTTATTTTCCAAACTTTTAATATTTCCAGAGATAAATCTCCACGATGATCTTCATGCCACCACGTAACGTATACATTGGACGGTATCTATGATCATCGATCTACGAATACAAAGTACACCTCGTGTACGGAACGAAGTCCATCTACGTGGCTGTTATTGAAATGCAATGGCCATCTCGCCGAATCGATAGGACGTTTAGATGCACATATGTGCATATATGTATATCTTCCGCACACACGCGGGCGCACATTCGCGCAAACCGCCGAGCTCTCATAGCACGTGGGACCTAGTTTCCGACTGGACAGTGTCTCTCAAACGTTCGCTCGTAAATCTTAATGTATAACGAGAGACACTTCTTGCGAAGCTTTCACGATGATATCAGCCCTGTCAGCATTCCTGAGGGCTTTTGACACGGTTTGACCCGTCGATTGCAGAAATATCGTCCAGAAGTATCGTCAGAACTACTTCTACGCGTCGCCCCAACCTGTTTCTCTCTCGCGTGTTCCATCATCACGTACAGTTAAATCAATAAAATACTTATTTGAATTAACGAAAATGGATATAAGTAAATTCAACGTTGTAATTTCAATTTTACATTAGAAATAATATACGGTAAAATTTTAAATATTAAAAGGTACCATTAAAAGGTGCTCGCTAATGTTCGAAAGGAGATGTTCGATTTACGTTGTTCACATTTTCATGACAAAATGCTAATGACATAATCATAGATTTAAAAATACTCTCTGAGGCATTAGAGGAAGTAAAATATCCACGTCTGCAATCGCAGCCGCCATAATCCTTTAGTTAAATTTTTAACAAGCTGCGCACGGAGCTTTGTGAAATTTCAGTGACACTCGCGTCAAAACCGCGCGACGCGTTATCCTTCTCTGTGCTTTTGTGAGAAAAAAGCGGAATACGATCCGATCGCGTTGCAAATAGATCGATGCCTTTTGTATAGGCGGCGGGATTTAATCAAAATTTAATCAGAATTTAATGGCGCCGCCGCTGAACTTCCACTTTGATGGCACACGTCAGCGTGACGAACCGACGATATTCAGTGAAATACGCGACCGTATGGGAATTCCACCGTGGGGCATAAATTCTTCGTGACTGGCGGCGTCAAAAGAGAAATGGACATTGCGGGTATCAATGGCGCGTACGCGATACTTTCGAAATGCATTTTTGCCCTTTCTATCGAACGACCTTTGCGCGCGATTTATCTGTCGCGATAAACGAGAAAGAGCGTACCGAAACATTTTTATTCATTTAAATCGAACCCGGCGGAGGATTCCGTGCTATAGAGTTTAAACGTTATCGGAACCGGTCGGTCGGGTACCGAGGATGTTCTACCTCGAGACAAACTGCCAATCCATCGCAGCCTCTTATTTCATTCGCGAGTGCGCGGTATAGCTATAGAGTCATTGTCGAAGCCAAGCCAAGTGAAAAAGGAGGAAGGGATCGATTGCTGATCAAACGGTAATGCAATTCAATTGGCTCGAATGGAAAAAGAATAGCAACGAATGAGAAGATCGATAGCTCTATGTAATGTTTTAAAGATAGAAAGAATACTGGATTCTCTCTCTCTCTCTCTCTCTCTCTCTCGCATATGAGAGTATTTGTTTACCGGAAGAGATATAAAGATCAGCACGAACGCGAAGGTAAAATTTCATGTTATAGCACAGCCCGCCAATAACGCCGATAATGTTATTCTGTTAATGGCGACATCGGAGATTGACGATAGTGCGGGCCATACCACGAATAAACGTACGTTTAAAGGAGCAGGAATAGCAAAAGCCTGCATTCTGTATTCCCGCATGTGGGTATTTCGCATTCCGGTAAAAGAGATTTCCTTCATCCTATTTTGAATAGCAAATGTACCGGACGAATTTTCCTTCGTTTTTCTTCTGGCAACAAGTGTAGATGGTGCGCTCTATATTGTATCCGATATTTTTTCTACTATTGATTCTCATATTCGAAATATTACGTAGTTCTGCAATTTCCAATTTCAATTCGAATGCGGCATGAACATTACGCTCTTCCGCATACGAAAAACTTTCTCGAAATTTTGCTAAAACATTCTAAAAATATTTTCATTCGTGTCCTTTCTCTCTTAAAACTCTAGGCGTTTCTTTACACCGAGTATTGTCAAAACTTTTATTACTGAAATATCGCGCGTTTAACTCGTAACAGTCATACGTTCTCGCCAACATTGGATTTAAAATGCAAGCGATAGAGAAGGTGAATTCTCTTTATCCACCCTTAAGAATACCGAAGACTGTATGCAAGAATTTTATTCTCCGCTGACGAGAGCTTACGTGTTCGAACAACCGGTTAAAAATTCAGAGGCTTTTCTTCTACGCTCGCTTCCTTACTGTACCACTGCCTGAGGAACCTTCTGGTAATTCATTTGTTTCTTTTGCTACACATATCCAATATTCAGCTTTCAATTTAACTTGGCCGAACGTCCGACTTCGATGTTGATACGCTGAAACCTCGACTTCATACAACCGCGTCAATCAGTCAAGTACACTTAACGTTTCTGTTCCCATCGACAATAGCGAATAGGTACTTCCGTCAAATGGCCAAGTGATTCCCATTTGAGTTTAACTTCAACTTGCAACTTGCACAATGACAGAGGTGATTCTCTTTATTCACCGAAGAAGTCGTCGCGAATTGAACGTAGACATTCCGCTTTCTACCAGGAGAGCCTGCCTTTGTTCCGACTTCGATTACTCCGACGCGAAGAAGGCCTTTCGTCATGCTCTGTACATAGTTTGATTTCGGATCGTCTTCATCCCTTTCATAATCTTTCCTCTTCACACTTTTATAACGAGTGCAATTATTGATAATTTTAAAAAATTAAATTTCTCTTTTATTCACGCATAAAAGAGAAGACGGTTAAATAAATAAATCGTGAAATTAACATTATTTCAATTTCAATTTTAATTATTATGTTAACTAAAGTATCCTAAATAACTGTTTTCACGAATAATTAAAATTTATATAATAGAAATTGATGAATTTGATTATTTTTTAACGCATTAATGTACATTTAAATAATAATCTGCGCAAAATTTCTAATTATATCAACAAATTATATTTACTATTGTGTCTAAATCCTTTTATAATTAAATATTTGAAATAATCATACAGATAATTTAAATTTAAATCATAATATCATAAATATAATGATATATATTATAAAACAGATTAATGAGAAATTACAAATAATAATATTTCAGTAATAAGCACATTTAATGTTCGGTTATAATGCAATTAAAATTTTATAAGATATGAATGTTGCGTAGATTTTGTATTGATATTTTCCATCTGCGCTGCGTATTCCCGTTGCGGATCATCGTTCCGATTTACTATTTTTGTAATTAATGAGAACGATCAAAGTTGCAACCACCAGATTGTGGCGCGGAGATCATCACATCTGATTTACACTGCAACAGCTTCAATACGAGGCGTGAACGCAGCTTATTGCATTACTGTCGTACTCTACAATATAGGGAGAGCCGGGGTCAGCCCCATCGATGCAGTAGCCCGATGGCGAAGTAGCCAATAGCAATGATCGATAAAGCGCCCCTAATTAACCAGGTTCTGCCGCCAAATTGGAGCTTTGTTCCGGCAGCGAAATTAATTGATTCTATCTATTCCATACCCATGCTACACGAATAACGTTTGGCTGGTCCTCTCTCAGATAGCGAAGATTAGTTCGTCTTTAAAGCGAACCGGTCAGTGTCTGGAGCTTTGAGCGGAAGTTGCATGAATGCTTGTCCGTTTCTAAGTTCTCCTCAGGGAAATGCTCGAACGTATCTCTGATAGAGAGCCCGTTCAAAGGACAAGCAAGATGAAATATCAGACGCGCCTGTGATAAGATTATATATAAGTAACTATATCCATATATAATATACATTAGCATATGTCGGTGGACGGTTTGTCAAACGGATGAATTCCTGATATCCTGATATCACTTTTCTTTTAAAGGAAACGACAAATAGCGCGATAATTCGATACGAAGGAAAGTTTATTTGCGCGCCGAATATAATTGCATCTCCGCGTTGTATTTGGGTAGGAAATGCAGCTCGACCGCATATGTGAGCATACATTACATGTAGACAACCATTCTCGCTTCCGGTTGACTGCCATGCACAGAATGCGTACATGTATGCAGATTGGCGGGCGCGCTATGCACTTCACGTACCGGCGAGAGATCAATCCGGCTGCGTCTCTTTCGTTTCAGACGAGCCGCCCAGAAAAGTATTTGATCCGGCCGATAGCGCGCGCGAACTCTGCGACGGAACCCGCTATTTGGTTTCCAGAGAGAGAGAGAGAGAGAGAAATACTTGGGCTAAAGTCCGAGCGTTATATTCCGCTCGATTACGTTGGATATCGTTGAAATCAACGATTCGCAAAGATCATCGCGAGTAATGGCGAAAACAAATGCGGATAAAATAAATGCGGACGCGAGAATAAATAATTTCGCATTCCCCGGCGATTCTCAGTAACAGATAAAATAATTTCGCATTCTCTGTAATACGTTGTAATTTTGCTTGTAGAAATTGTCTGGTCGGTAAGGCTTATCATATCAAAATCTCGGACTTCGGCACCGACAACGAGCTGTACGCCTGCGATTATTACAAGGTCGACGGAACCATGCCGTTGCCGGTACGATGGATGGCTTGGGAGTCAATATTTCTGGTAAGTTTGCAATTTTATCGCCATTTGGCATTTCGCAACGTAATTTTCCAGACTCCACAGGATTTTCCACAGTCAAAGTACCCTCGATGAGTAATGTACACGTTGCATCTGATTTTCAGGGAAAGTACACGACCAAGAGCGACGTGTGGGCTTTCGCGGTTACCCTCTGGGAGATCTTGAATCTCGGCAGACGTGTCCCCTACGAGCACCTGTCCGACGAGGAGGTGGTGCAGAGCCTGCGGCAACTGCATCACGCCGCCGACTGCGGCAACGCTAATGCCGAGGACAGTTGCAAGGAGGATTCCAGAAATGGTTTCGATTACCTGCCGCGGCCCACCGCCTCGTCCAAGGACATCTACGATCTGATGCTCGAGTGCTGGCAACGAGAGGAGACCGAGAGACCGACTTTCCGTGAAATATCACTCTTTCTGCAGCGGAAAAATCTTGGATACGCTCCAACATCCTGATATTGAGCCCCGAATTTCGGTGAGCGCGACGTTCTTAATAGTCATACCGCGAATCAGAACGGGCTCGTTTCTGAAACGGAGCGACGAACATGCAATGACGGTCAACGTTCTCATCCGAGGAACCGCAAGGAATAATGATCGAAGTGAGAGGGAGGAAAATTATGGCTGATGAGAGAAAAAAAGGAAAGGATGACGGGAGAACAATTATATATCGCGACATCGAAATGATAAGTACAACGATGGAACTTTATTGTCCGTCAACGAGACGCGAGACTTGGGAGTTACTTGGGAATCGATCGTCCTTCAATTTCGTCTCAATTCACGCATACCTTCTTCGGACAACGAGTATTAGCGGACAGGAGATAAAATTAGAATAGATAGAAGAGTTAAGTGCGGGTCGAATTTTTAAGGACTTCACGAGATTTATCGTACGAAATAGTTTGAGGTGTACCGCGAATACCACTGATCTCTGCAGAATTCTCGATTGCACGAGCATATGTCGCTTTAAGGCACGAGAACACGGTGTCGGATCACGACACGAATATCGTAAGTAAGGAATCTATACCGGGATTAGGCGTAGGACTCCCTCTTCGAATGTAAGAAAAGACGAGGACGTACGCGAATCCGTGAATACGACAATCGGACGAGGGCGGGATAAGAACTTGCCCGTCGTGGATAGCCGCTCTGCGGGGAATATCCGACAAATATTTCAAGGGGATATTCGATCGTTTGTGAAACTGAGGAGGATTCTCTCTCGCAATTGTCGAGAACTTTAGTAGCAATACCATGTAATACAGCTGTGAACATTCCTGCACGAATGAGGGGTATCTATACTGCGCAATTAGGCAATTACGCAAATAGGAAGAATCGTTACTTAAGGAGAATATTAATTAAGGTTCCCTCGGGATTATATCATTTTGATTAAGGGTTCAATAGAAAAAAAAAAAAAAAAATAGTGTGAGTCACATCGACGTATGGCAATATAAGAGCTACGATTAGACGGTTGTTCGAATTGATATCGTAAATTATAACTGAATGTATTTTATGAACGTGTGGGTGCCTATTTCCTTCTCTTTCTCTTTATCGCTCTTCTTTACTCTCTTTGAATGTATATTGCATCGTCCAGGCGTTCTGGGCCTATTTGCGAATCTACATGTGATTTACATCGCGGAATTCTTTATCGTCATAAGTCATATCGTCATAATGTCGCGGAGCGGCGAAGTGATTATCGTGTTTCAAGGACGAATTGTCCAGATCGCGTGAGGAAATTAAACGTCTTTCTATTTGCTATTTTCGGTTCGAAAAAAAGATCTGTGTGTAACACACATGAAAAAATGCTAAGTAAATTCAGGAACAATTAAGTGACTGTAAAGATTTCTCGATAGTACATGTTTATTCGAACGACGTTAACTATCGCGGTCATCGTTAATGTAAACGGGATTCGTTAATGTCGTAATTGGACGAATATCATATGTCGTAAACGTAAGATAGGCGAAAGGTATTACTTTACCTATTCTGCATTGGGGAAGACGGTAATAGAGTACGTATCATGACTATGACACATCATAATTGTAACTTTATATGATAGGTGGGATCAATGAAATTAGAATATTGTATGTATATATTATATTATATATATATATATATATATATATATATATATATATATATATATATATATATATATATATATATATATACATACATATATACATATATATATAGGGCATTATCGTAGTAAGGAGCGTTATCATTGCATTTCTTGCCAGAGTAGCGAACGAAAATCGAATTGTCTCCGAGATAGCGCACGCTCGCTCGTCATTGGATTAATGTTTAGAAGTTATTCAGCTTCTGGTGAGATATCCGTCGAGCGAGAGATAAGATAAAGCTTGATGAAAGACGACATATCGGAATTTCTTATAAAATTTTAAAAGGGTGAAACGCGAGGGTTTACATACATGGTAATCACCTTCGAACACTTGGAAGTTAACGAACACACCCGTTGCGCGTCTTCTCCGTATATTCGACTCCGGTAATATATTTCGATCGACCTTAAGTTTCGTGTATTTATATACCAGAGATGGACACTATTATAACTTATACGACATTTAGCGAATAGGCGATGTTACCGTTATATCATTAAAATACTATTTATATAAAATTAACGTAATACCGCATAAGGAGTAGAGATGGTACGGAGGCATAGCCATACGTAGTTAAAATAATACGCGTTGAATTTAAACGTAACTGGAATTGCTTCTGTATCACCAAGACCGAGATGTTTAGAGCGAGTGGATGAGGATCACGGCTAATTGCGAACTCGCGTATAAATCTACGAGGTAATAGAAATAGGCAATATCAATTTTTGATCTTGCCAGAAGTAAATAGTAATAGCCGATCGATTAAATCTAAGAGCGTTAATTATAATTTACATTTTGCATAAGAATGTCGAGTCAGACGTGTATAATTTCGTGCTACCGCGAAATTTTTGGCCAATCGATTTTTCGCACCGGTTGTGACTGAGTTGAAACAATAATACCTATTGTCGGTACACCTTTAGTCCGAAGCAGACTGCCATTATATTTCTAGATAGGAATAGAGAATGAATTGTAGTTGCGTTTAGATTCGCCAATATAAGCATAACGCTGCCTTTGGCTATATTGTTGCCCTTTACTGCTAACGAGTAACTTACTTGTCTACTCTCATGTGATAATTTAGTATATTTCTACGTATCTACCTGTACCTACCAATTCGAAAATCTCCATGGCGAAAGGATTATTCCACTTTGTTACACCTTGTCTTTATTACAAATCATAGCAATTCGAATTAAATATTATAATATTATAATAAAAAATTCGAAATATTGTTTTAATAAAAATTTGGAACACGGAATAATGACAAAAAAATACATGGATTCTATATTAAAATCTAACAGTTTCATCATATAAATCCAGAAGGTAATTACCTTATAATTTATTAGAAATTAGGCATCAAAATATGAAATTTAATGAAATAGAATAATATGACATTTAAAACGTTTTTTTTTCAAGTTGAATAGAAAAAAAGTATTCAATCCTTTCTCTATGCAAAGATTCACTATTAAAATCTAGATAACTCACTTCTACCTAGCGTGCCCTTTTTCCAATGTGATTAATTATATTTTTTTGCGGACAATTCGAGCTCTATCAATGTGGCATCACTGAGGTAAATGTTTGAGACTACAGTGTCAGAGACGAGAGTGAAAAGATTTCGTTCGAGCATTCTGTGTATAAACACACGCTAGATATAAAATTTCATTTTTTAAAGGCCTTACGTATCAATAAGCTCGAGTAATTTAATTATCATTTTAATTAACAACAGTAATCTGCAAACTCTTATCGTTCGCTATATACATTGCTAATTTCTTCGAGATAAATTTTAAATGCGTATGATTGACAATCACGCTTGCCTCGGAATTTAGAAAATATATTTAGTAGCAATCGCGACTTTTTTAAAGTACGATTATAACTAACAGAATTGATGTTTTATAATAATTTAAGGCATATTCATAATCTTTATCATCAACTTTGATTCTTATCGAAAACAAACATAATTTTATTAAAGAAAAGAAAGGTATTAGGCTTTTTACATATAACAGCCAACTATACGGTGACATGTTAAAGATTATTTTAATAATCATGTTTTTAGAACAGAAACATTATAAGCTTCATAATGATTTGCATTACAATATCACGATTAATATTATGCATTCGCGTATATGATCGTTAAATGAAATTTGGATATCATTTCAAATCAAGTTAAACAGCAACTATATATCGTACAAAGTGGTATATCATTATGATTAAAAATCGCGGCAATGAAATTAATATAAAATGTTGAGTGAATTTTTTTTTTTTTCGTACACGAGCACATGCGTGATATAATTTCGATATACCCTATTGTTGACCTCTATGGTGGAATTGCGAGGAATTTACAGGTAATCGTGGGTAAACTGAGGAGAGCTCATCTAGTTGTATATCTTCTATCTAGGTAGGGGCAACGCACGGTCATTCACGCCATATCATTCGGCTACAGCCACGTTATGATTTATGTCAATCTATCCTTCTTTAAAAAAAGAATTGTAGGTAAAACTTACGGAATTAATTAAAAAAATATTCTAAGAGAGAATTGCAGCGAAACTGACCACTGGCCATGGTGAGTTGCCCATGCCTGTTCTACGCTATCGAACCTTGATCGTTATAGTCATAAAATTATTTTGTACTAAGAACTGTTTATAATTTTGTATCTAATCTCTGTAAATATCAAGCAGATTGTCTATGAGTAATAAAGCTTGAACAAACTCGATTTAAGTAGACTATATAAAAGGAAAGAAAAAGAAAAATAAATATATATATATATACACACACACACATATATATATATATATATATAAATATAAATACTAGTATTTATAATATATCTATATTTTATTTAGTCGTAAGGCAGCGAAGAGATGTAAGTAAAATTTCGCGAAGCGCGGATTGGTAACATAACAATGTACAACGATCTAGGAATTATTTGTATTATAAAGATGACAATTAAGGGACAAATCATAAAAGTATACATGTTACTCTGTAGCCGTGTATATATATACATATATTATACATCTAGAATCCAACTAGTCATGTATGGCACTTTATAACAATTAAAGTGTATCCCTGACAACAAATGCAAAATACAACGTGTGCTGTTCTTTGAGTATTCTTGCTTGGATAGGTACGATTAAAGGGTACATACATACCGATGCGATCGACACGAGGTTGAACGAGAGAGATCGGAATTTTTGAAGCAAATTATTAATTTTAACTTTGCCGCGGAGTCCACGTCGCTGGATATACCGTGCGAGTCCGATTCCATCGTGATCGTAAGCTTCTGTGGTCGTAGACCTGAACACATCATTTATATAACTTACATGTGTATATCACTAAAGAAACAACATACAAATTGTAAGTTCCATTATCCATTATTCATGAAGCACAACGATAAAATCTATTTGTATTGGAAAATCGTATACTATTTATTTCATTGAAGATCCTCCTATTGAAGATCCTTCTCTGCGTCACACATGGCTCTTTTATTGCTGGATTTGGAATCAATAATTTTATATTAAAATAGATATATGCAATATAAAAATTACAAGGTTTCTTTCAGCAAAGAAAAATCACAGTTTTCTTATATTCCTTGGTCCTCTCATATTTTCTTTTTAATTGTTCATACTTGATTTGCCTTCCCGCTTCTTTCTTTAGAGAGAATATCCGCTGAGAGGGCGTCAGAGGACGTTCAAGTTGTTCAATTCGTACGACTGGAAAAATCTCTAGTAATATTTAATCCATGTTTGTGGATGAATGAATATCATCATATATATCAATCATGTGTTCGATTACGTTTGTTTACTATAATAAATCGGAGTAACTTTAAGAATGTTAAATGTGAATCACAGAAATATAAGAAGTATAAGAGAAAATCATAAATGAGGCAAAATGAATTGGAGATGAGGATGTTGCTGCATTGGATGCGTATGAAACGAAAAAACGAAATATAACAAATGTTTAACGAAAACAAAATAACTCGTACTCCAACGAAAAAAGAAAGAAGGAAAATACAGATTTTTATGCATTCTTTCCAAAGAATAAATTATATTCATATCGTTTATATATAAAAATAAAATTTAAAATATGTTTACATTATTGTATTTTCATGTATAAAAACATTTAAAGTTATCTGATATGATTGACACTGACATAGACATGTTTTATATTGTACCGCCAAATGAAGAGATACCTTTTTATATTCTAGAAGATTGCATTTTGACCAGATTAGATTATTTAAAACTTTTAAGTGAAGGATCTGCTAATGAATTTGATGGAAAATTCGAATACTTGTTAGAAAATTCTATATATGATAAGGCTGGACATTTTGTTTTACGGTAAGCATAAACATGAAGAAAAATTAATGTAGCTAAAGTATAAAAAAATTAAACAACTGTAAGAATTATAAAAATTTGTATTTTTATATAAATATATAATTAATGGTTTATGTTATTTATTTTAGATTATTAGCCTGTATATCATCAGATCTATGTACATATTGGGTAGCTAAAGAATCATTATTATTTAAGCAAAGATTAGATCATATGTCACCTAGACAATTACATAAATTATTAAAACAAATTACATGGAAACTACAGATATTCAAAGATAGGAAAAGTGCGATTGATACAACTCTAATCGAGTTATGCAAATTCTATTCGCAGCCCTTAATTTTTAAACACTTGGTATCAAATTGTCACAATTGTAATAATTTTCGATATGAAGGTACAAATATAGAATAACACTTCTTATACAAAAAGACGCTTCTTATGCAAAAAAAAAGTAAGCTAACTAACACTTCTTGTTTGATATTCCAGTAAGGTTTGAGATAATACCAGATTTAGTGAGAGAAAGAGAACTAGTCCTTAGTAATGGAAATGTTATCACATACTGCTCAGATTGGAAGAAAATATTGCAATCATTATTCAGCAATTACGTAATAAACGACATGAATATCATGAAGAAACAAGCGCAGCGCATTATAAAATATGATCTCAGATTTAATATTTTAAATCAGAAAGTTCAGTCGTATCTGTTCAAAGAATGTACCGTCCATGGAAAAATATCAATCGATAATATAGAGGAAGAGGCACAAAAATTTCCCTTATGTATGCAGCATCTGCACTCTTTATTAAGAAGGAGACATCGTCTCAGTCATTATGCTCGTCTGTACTATAGTCTTTTTCTAAAAGAAATAGGAATGACCCTAGAGGATTCAATCACTTTTTGGAAGCAAGAATATTCCAAGCCACATACTTGTACCTCAGTATGTTCGCACAATTGGCAATCCAACGAAAAGAAATTTCTGTACAGCATCAGGCATATGTACGGTTTAGAAGGCTCGCGGCGAAATTACAAGACACCTAGTTGTAATCAAATTTGTGTAAGTATAAAAATTTTATAAATATAAACAAAATTTTTTATGTATAAAAATTTATCATCAAAACTATTTTGTAAAACTGCAGGCTGGTATTAGTGGAGCAACGTACGAAGGTGGTTGTCCTTTCAAAGATTTTGACATGAATACATTCAAAAATCTTTTATGTGTTTCATTAACTGAAGATGAAATCGAGAAATTTATAAATAATGTATCTGTCAAAGATCCAGAAGTTCGTTGCATTGCATTTCTGAAACTTGTATGCAAAAACAATATTGATGATGTTGTCGTCAAAAGTCCAGTACAATATTATCAAAAAATGAGTAATTAATATCAACTTTAGTTACTGAAAAATTTATATTATATTTTTTTATTAAGTTTCATTATTATTCAATCATTATTATTCAATTATTATTCAATATGTTGTTGGGAAATTTTATCAACAAATGTTTTATATATATCATAAAACAGAAAATCATTAATATAAATAAATTATACTAACAACTAAGTCATTATTGTTTGCTAAACGATCGCAGAGCATCTTCCACAACATGATGACTCACACCATTTCTAACTAATATAGCATGTACCCCAAGTTTACCAATTTCCGTGATATTTCTAGTCTCATCATCGAAAAACAGCATATCTTTGTAATCAATTTGAGAACTCTTTTGAATGCTGGAAATATTATATTCAAATAAGTTATAATTTTATTTAGTTTATTATGCAACAATCAAGTCTTAAAACAAACTTTACACAAGACTTACTTAGAGAAATGTGTAACTTTGCTACCAGGAAATATTTCAAAATATTTGAAATATCTCTTCCAGCCAAAAAGATCTAGCAATTGTTTTGCTCCCTTTATTTCTGACGTGCGTGATGCTACAGCAAGCTCATATCCTTCCTCTGATAACTGTTTCAATACATCAGGTACGTCAGTGTAGTAGCGTACAGTACGACCATGCGCATCTACTATTTTATTTTGCGCTCTAAAAATGATTATCTTTAATATCCATTTTTATCAATGTAGATTAACTTTAACTTCAACTTATTTTTTATCTCTTTTCAGTTCTAAGAATTATAAAATTATAAAAAAATGAAAAATAAATTAAACCAAAATTAATTGATGAACATGAAAATAAATCTACAATATAAACTGTTAAAATTTATTTATATTCAAATATCAATTTTTAATACACATACCTTTTTTTAAACGGTGGATCTACATGAGTGTCAACCCAAAATGGCCATAAAGTATAGTCTGGAATTTAACAACTTTTCCAATTACCCAGTATTTATTCTAAATAATTTTTATTATAACTATAATAACTATATTTTTATTATAACTATATTATAATTATAATATATTAGAAGCAAATGAAGTTATATCATGAATTTGTCATACATCTAAATTACACAACATTGGAGTCTCTGTACCTAAATCAAAGACAATAACTTTCGGCTTTTTCGCCATTTGGTCTCCACTTGAATTATAATTCATTGGGCAAAATTATTCAAAAACGAAATACCATCTAATTATCTTTTTCTTAAATAATTAAGACATTGTAAGAGTAGATAAGAGTAAACATAACCCATAATTCCTTTCATTGTCCAACAAATACATCACTACTTTGACTAAGGCTATAGTCCACTTAGCGCTACAAAAGTTTCGAAGTGTTTGATTAACCAATCAGAATGAAGAATTTTATAAATTGACCAATCAAAAAATGCTTCGAAACATTGGTAACATCACCGTAACAATGGACTGTACCCTAATTTTCCGTTCCAGCCGCCGAGAGAGTGAGCAAACTTTTCCAATTTCTCTCATTGGAATATCATTAAAAGAAAATTATATAATAATCGCAATTACAATCAAAAACAGTTACAGCATCACCTTGAAAAAAATCCGTTGAATTTTATTAAATTCATTCTAAAATATTGGAAATTTTATTTGAATACGTTCTTGCACTTGTCATATTTGGGTGCTTTCCATTTAGGTTCAGTCTACTTGGTGCTACAAATTGCTTCGAAGCATTTTTTTGGTCAATTGATTGATAAAATTCTTCGTTCTGATTGGTTAATCAAACATTTCGAAACTTTTGTAGCGCTAAATGGACCGTATATTATATATTAAATATCACTTAAAATTCAAAATAACATTGGTGCAATCGAGCCTTAGTGACACAAGTCGACACAAGTATCATTTTGTTCTTATTAATCATTGAAAGCCAAGAAAGATAAAACGATACTTGTGTCGATTTGTGTCACTAAATGGAAAGCGCCCTTAAAGTAAACTACTATATATACTGACTTTTCATGCTGACACTCGACGCTCATTTTTAGCATCAAACTAGATCACGTGATCAAAATTAAACAGAATAGTGAAATCCGTATGGTTATTTTTGCTAAAATATAGGATAGTTTTGACGACGCTAGTGTATTTCGACGGTATCATGAAAAAGACCAAAATGGTCGTTCTCAAACTTCTCTCTGATATCAGATAAGATACGAATATGACAGCTCTCAGGCTTCTCTCTAATATTATATAATTTTTGTTCCTTTTGTTTAAAAAAATAAATAGCGCTCAGCGTACGTCTGTAGTGTCTAGTTACTGATAAAAAAGGATTCATAGGCGCTTCAATCGAGATTCATGCAAGTCCGCCGCAACTTCGAATCGGACAATCGGATTGGACGGATTTGTATCTACAAGCGCGAAACAAACTCGCCAAGTGAAATTGGACTTAAGGTCAGGTCGGTTCTTTGAATTCTCTGGTTTCTCGTTCGCACGGCGGCGCGTCACTTCTCGTTTACCGATTTTCGTGAGAGTGGATTAGTGAATTGTCAGGCGGTTCGAGTGCGGTCAAATCGAAGTGATACGTAGATCTTCGAACGCTAATTAAATATACGCATGTACGTTGTCCGTTATCCCCCGAATATGATCGGCTCTCTTTGTCGATATAACGTAAAATAGCTTCCCGACAATCCAATAGCTCCCTCGAGATTAGGAGAGGCTAGCTAAGCCTCGTGCATGCGTCGTTCCCTTCGGCGACTGGTGGCTGATTAAATTAATCCTCGACTTATTTTACATCATTTTTCATGTCGGTCTTGTTTATCTCTGTTCGAGGAGACCCGGGACTTTTTGGCTCTGCACACGGTTTTGCTGCAGTTTCTCAAAGAAGCTAATTAAATATCTGTATTTCTACATCTCGCTTTTTCTTGCTTTCATTTAACTCTGTCCGATTCCGTACATTAGTATTTCCGTACGTTAGTACTTCAAATTGCACGCAATTTCATAGGTTATCAGACTTAAGGCCATGGACTTGTTTTACAATTCTGATAAACAATTGTTAGTTAATTGTGTCTATTTAATAAGAAACGAATATTATTAATCTGCATTGCATATTTCTTAAATTGGGATCATACGTTCTAGAGTTATATATGTTTATCTTTACATTTGTAATAGAATAAAAATGCGATATATTTGGTATGTAATATATAACAAGAATTTATTTTTCATAATCATAACGAAATATAATTCCATCTTATAATATTTTGTTAATTTGTAATTCCTCTTATTTCTGAATTCTTTCTATATACATATTTATTTTTATTTCAGAAATGTCTGAATCAGATCTTCTAGCTGGTGACCATATTGATGGTCTAGATGGTCTTGAAAATGGTCAAGATGGAGATACCATTATGCAGTGCGATGGTATGAAACGTGACTTAGGTGAAGCCAATGTTGATGATCCTGTAAGTATTGCTATTTTTTCAATAATGTAATAACAAGATCTCTTTTATACAATAATATGTAGCTTGTAAAATATTATCTGTTATTTAGGAATTAGAGGCAATTAAAGCACGAGTCAGAGAAATGGAAGAAGAAGCGGAAAAGTTGAAGCAACTTCAATCCGAGGTAGATAAACAAATGAATATGGGCAGTCCACCTGGTATTAGTAAGTTTATAAATTTATCTTTTCTATGAAAGAGTATACAAGTAAAACCAAATAATTTAGATGTATTTCAACATTATTCTTAATGTCTAATTTTAGCAAGCCCATTAAATATGTCATTGGAAGACAAAAATGGAAGTTGATAATCGGTCCATTTATGTTGGCAATGTAAGTTTATTGCAATTCACTTGGAATTATTTAAATAATTACATTATGTGATGGTATAACAAAAAAATTTTTTTATGCAGGTTGACTATGGCGCTACAGCGGAAGAATTAGAACAACATTTTCATGGCTGTGGCAGTGTCAACAGAGTGACAATTTTGTGTAATAAATTTGATGGTCATCCTAAAGGCTTTGCTTATATTGAATTTGCCGAACGCGATTCTGTACAAACCGCCATGGCAATGGATGAATCTATGTTTAGAGGGCGTCAAATTAAAGTAATGCCTAAAAGAACAAATAAACCTGGTTTTTCTATGACAAATAGGTAATTTTTCACTTTAGAAAACATTCTAATTTATGAAACAAATATAAATTTTAAATAATTATTAAAAAATTGGTATATAAATATGACTTATATTTAATAAGACATTGGCATTTTTATTTTATTTTATTTATTTATTTTTTATTACTTCTATATTTATATATAGGGGTCCCAGAGGTGCAAGAGGCTATCGAGGTATGGCTAGAGGAATTATTCGTGGTAGTGCATACTTTGGATACAGACCTACGAGACGACCTAGGTAACAATTAATTTTGATTTATTTAAAAAAATATGTTAACAATTTTCTGATACCGATTTTCTGATTTATTGTTATTCTTAAGAAACTATTGTATCTTTTTTTTATAAATTCTACTATTTGATGGTTTTTGCTTATAGGAGTTACAGACGTGGTTATTATATGCCATATTGACCATTTTAAAATATGGCAACATTATTCTGCAAGTGTCAAGGTAAGTTTTTATTTTAAGATCTGTATGTGATAAATTCTATTGTTCAAAGAAAGATTCTAAGTAATAAAAAAAGTTAAATTTATTTTATGCCCACACGAATTAATTTTTATTAATCATTGTTATTAACAATTTTTAAGATTTCTCAAGAAAGAATAAAATATAGCGATAAAAGAACATTTCTTTGAACATTTTTAAAAAACTTCCTCAATGATATGTATTTTATACTTTGAGGAAAGACCAGGAATATTTAAATCAAAATTTCAATAAAAATAGTAATTGATTAATGTTTGAATACATGCATTAAATTACAGTATAATTAAACAGTTTTTAATAACTAATTTAGCTGCATTTCTCTTTTATTTATTTTTTTACCTATTTGCATTATTAATGTAGACATATGCTTATTAAAGAATTATTCGAAATTTTTTGAGACAGCATTTTCTATAAACAAGGAGAAATATTAAAATAAATTAAAAAATATACTGGTCATTTTCTCATAATATAGACAGCAAAATTATTCAACAATAACAATTAATTCTTAATATAAGTTTAATTTTTTTGATATAATCTGATGTATCTATATGATCACGCTTAATAATATACAAAATTAAAATTATGAAAAATATAATTGTTTTTGCTTTATTCATTGAATATAATACAATATGATATCTAGATACATTAGTATTGACACTTGGCCATAATAAAAAATCTATACTATTAGAAAATATATATAAAATGACAAAATAATATCTTGCTCTATTAATACATTATTTTGCTTCACTTTTTTATATTGCATTTTTAATCTATTTTAGCTAATGAAATTATATTTTTAGTAAATTTATTTATTAATTTCGATTAAACACATATGCCCAATACTCATATCAAAATCTGAATAAAAGTAAATTATTAAACTAGAAAATGAATAAATCATTGTATGTAATATTTCCAAGATCAAAAGTATAGAATATGGCCTTGTGATATGTAACATTACAAATTGTAAGTTTTTTGTGAAAAAATTGATTAACAATTCACACAAGAAACTTACAAACGTGTATATCATCATGCATCGCATTAGAAATTGGTTAAAATATTTAAGTAAATTCTATGATATGTCCACAGAAAAAAAACATTCGATGGGAAAAAAAAAGAGAAAAACATCATGTCAAAAGAAAAAAAGATTGGACAAAGAAGGGCACAATTAATTGTATTTGATTTAATAATCATATAAAACTACAAATGTAGAACAGCGATCATTCACTATTGTAGTTCAATAAATTTTTGTTAAAGTCTTGTTAATGTAACAAATTTAAATTAAATTTTGTATCTGCCTTAAAAATTTCTCAGACTGTTACTTTACTTAATTTGTATTTCAATTGTTTTATGTCTGATATAAAATTCATTTTGTCAATAAAATATACTTGATAAACTTAAACAAATATCAAATATAATTAAAATATAATTAGAAATGTTACACATTAATTATAGCAGGCAATTGACGTTCAAATTTAGTTAAAATTTAAATCAATGTGTGCAAAATGATAAAGTATTTAACAATCTAATTTAACTGTATATATATATATATATGCAAAACATCTAACTTTAAAAATAATACTATCATTAACTTACATGAAAATAATATGTATTTATTGACAATATATATATATATTATATTCATAATTAATAGTTCATACAAATAACGCAATATCATTTAAATAAATATATATGTATATATATATTGAAAATTTTTTGTGTGTACACTTATAAAAACAGAAATTGAAGAAGCACTCAATTGACTTTGATATAAAAATAATAATAAGAAATGGCAAATTTATACAAAATGTTTGTATTTTAGTGTGGTATCATTTTTTACTAAATATAATAGATATTATAGGGATAACTATGTAGAGTATTTACATGTTGTTAAGGCTGATACAACAAAATACTATAGATTAAACAAAAAATTAAAACATTAATATATTTGCATCAGAATAGATTATTATTTAACTATCTGTACTTGGTATAAAAATGCACACACATACACATATGCACATTGTTAGTTCATGAAAATATTAAATGATAAAAAAATTGAACTACAAAGTGAATGTTTAGAATAATATATAACTATAATTTGTAGTAAATTTTGTATGCATGATAACTGAAAGTTGCGCCAAGAAATTATAAATTTTAGTTTCATTATATGAAATGTTCAATTATACATTGCACACTTTTCACATACCGGCAACTTTCATTTATTGAGAACTAACTATATATCTTCAGTTTTATCTTAAACATATTGCTACTAATTTGTAAGATGCGTGTAAAATATTTCTGAAACGCTGATTCATTGTGCTAAGGTGTTAGGAGGAGTGCCGACTTTCAACACATTAATGATTGAGACACATTTCGTAATGTTACTTCCATGTCGCTAAGTATTTTGCAGGTGCAGCGCAGCATCAGCATCACTTGAGTGATAATGATACAAATTTCATGAACAATTCTTACGTTTCATTAAGGAAAAAAAAAAGAAAATAATTAAGATATATGTGTAATATAAAATGTAAAATTAATGAATGGTAAATAAAGACTTTCTTGACTATAAATATAGAACTTGAATTGCTTTAACGAGGAGAGAGAAGGAGGGAGGGAGGGGGAGATGCATTTTTTACAAATAATATATCTTATTTATTAATTCTTATTTATAAACCTCTTTAATTTAATTAATTTAAAGTCAATTTTAATGTAAAAATTCGCTCCCCGAATTCAACCCAAGAGCGACGTGTGGGCTTTCGCGGTTACCTTTTGGGAGATCTTAAATCTCGGCAGACGTGTCCCCTACGAGTACCCGTTCGACGAGGAAGTGGTGCAGAGCCTGGCAACTGCATCACGCCACCGACTGCGGCAATGCCAATACCGAGGACAGTTGCAAGGATGATTCCAGAATACGATTATTTTTCTTTATTTTTTTTATTCTTCACAATCATATCAAATATCAATCATTCGTTATAGTTTTTCGCGCGTGGTTACACACACGTTACTGATCGAATATAAACTGTTGATAAAATACAATTGTTGGGAGCGAGCGTGGCATAGTAGGCAGCTCACTAGTCTACTATGCTTAGAGGTCCCGGTAGAAGAATATTTTTCCTATGCTCGTGTCTCCTCTTTGGCGGTCTGCCTTTGGCAAACTGCCAAGAGTATCTTTGCCACGGAAACCTCCCTCAATATCAAGCCATTCGGATTCGGCATAAAATTGTGGGTCCCCATATGCCTGTGTACATTGCGTCATTATAATGCTTTGTTTTTCAATTTAGTTATATATGAAGGCTGGCATAGCATGTGATGTTGGTCTTCCAATCCATCTCGTCCAAGAAGGTAACATAATGAAATATGTTTATTTGACATATAACGCACGTCATTATGATGTTTCTGTCACTTTTATAACATATAAAGTTTTCTTTAAAATTTTCCTCCATAATAAGATTTTTCAAATCGTTGAAAAATTTTTCGTGTCTGATTAAGTTTAAGTGATTTTCGAGTGATTTGCGATAAATAAGTACTGGCTAATACTGTTTTACACTCTATACATTTGTAGCCTTTTATATTATACGTAGATAATATTTTTCTATGACTCTTGCACGAAATTTTATGAATATTTTATCTGTCCCTTTTATATGTTTGTCGAAATGATTTTGCTTGTTGGATTTTGCAACACTTGTTTTGCAGATATTGCACCTGACAACCATATGATATGATTCGTCAAAAGAACTCTTCTCTTGTCTTTTGGACATATATCCTACTTGGACCTATATAAATAATTAATAAATAATAAATAAAATCATATAAATAATTAATTTATTATGTCTTTATAAAAAGACATAAGCGATTTAAAAAAGTTAAATGATGATATACCTGCTTCCATCATCTTGATAATATGCATTATTTTATTTTATATGTACTTCTTGATTGTCACGAATCAACTGAGAAATTCGAATAACTGATTATTTGTTTTGTTCTTGATCTCACAACGCTGATTCGCTTATTTAATTGTGTATGTTGTAATATATAATATGTAATATGTTATTATTTGTTATTATTATATGGTATTATTGTTATTATTTGTTCGATTTTGGTTCTTGAAAGTTATTTTACTATTAACTTCGCATCGATTATTTTGAGATTATCACATTGCACGCGAGCTAAAACTACAAAGTGAATTTAGAATAATATATAACTATAATTTGTAAATTTTGTATGATAACTAAAAGTTGCGCCAAGAAATTATGAATTTTAGCTCCATTATACGAAATGTTCGATTATACATTGCACACTTTTCATTACATACCGGCAACTTGCATTTATTGAAAACTAACTATATATCTTCAATTTTATCTTAAATATATTGCTACTAATTTGTAAGATGCTTGTAAAATATTGTTGAAACACTGATTCATTGTGCTAAGATGTTAGGAGGAGTGCCGACTTTCAATACATTAATGATTAAGATATATTTTGTAATGTTATTTTCACTTGTCGCTAAGTTTTTACAGCGCAGCACAACATCACTTAAATGATAATGATACAAATTTCATGAACAATTCTCACGTTTCATTAAGAAAAAAAAGAAAATAATTAAGATATATGTGTAATAAAATGTAAAATTAATGAATGGTAAATAAAGACTTTCTTGACTATAATATAGAATTTTAGTTGCTTCAATGAGGGAGAGGGAGGAGGAGGGGAGAGAGAGAGATGCATTTTTATAGAAATAATATATCTATTATTTATTTAATCCTTTATTTATAAAACCTCTTTTAAT